CATTTTATTTTTACACTGCTTAACACTGCTGTTATTCCTGAGCCTGATTTATGTGTACCCTGGAGTACTCCTAACCCCTTTTGATGTTATTTCTACTGGAAACAGTTGACAAAAGCAGATCTCCCCTTGAGGATTGCACAGTTTTAGTATTTGTTTCAACTTTCAGCCGTTTGCTCAACCTATTAAGAGCTTCTTGAAAGACATAAAATAGCAACCCATCACCTTGAATGCTACAGAAAAAAAATAAATGCATAAAGGCTGCCAATTCACGCTAACTCTGCTGCAGATAAGCAGAATACATTGGAAGGCATTACACTACATGGAATACTGCCTATGGATTTAGCATAACCCTACAAGGGTATTTGGCTCTGAAGTATTTCATTCTGTTGGTCAGAGATGCATGAAAATATTCATATAAAATATAAACCCAAGGCAAATAGAAAGTGTGCCTACTGTAAACTTGAGAACAAAAATTGTCAATAGGCTTAAGCATTACTTCTACTTTGTATTTTTTCTATGTACCATAGAGTACAGTACTGCTTTAAATACAATTTTTATGAGCTCTGCTAAAACCATACATATGCCATGCCAAGACTCTAGGAGCCTAACTGCTCTGCCTGTGGTGGACTAACCGTCCACGATAAATGGACAAATACAAGTACAGAAATGGTATATCTTGCTGCAAACAATAATATTTAAGAAATACATAAATAGTACCTAGTTGTCATCTTTTCCTGTTTAAATTTTTTCACCAAAAAGAAAAATGTATTCTGGACAATTTTTTTTTTACTGTAGTGAAGCTAATACAAAGTAACAGTTTATGTACCAAATACAGTTATTCTTCTTTTCCACCTGAATTCTATAGAATGATGAAAGTAGATTTCACAAAATACTACAAACTGCAGATTGCTTTAGTTGCTACTTTTCAACTGTATAAGAGTATTAGAAAGTAATCATCAGCACAAATACATATAGTCACCTAAATGTTTAGCTAAAGTAAAAAGGTTATGGGTATTTCTGTAATTTCTTTGAATTATATATAAATATTCCAAGAACACTAGGTTGGAGAAAAGAATTAGAAACTCAAAAAACTGAGCAGACATTTCATAAGTAGCCCAAGAATTTACAATTACCTTTGTGCAACACTAATAATTGATTTCTAGCTTTTTGCAAAATGGGCTTACCTTTGACCATCCTTGCAACTGGAAAAAAAGAAAATCAGGAATAGAAACTAAAATATTTTTTTCCCACAGCTTTAATTTGAAAATTATTTAATTCACCCAAAGATATATGTGAAATTATATTTTAACAACTCACAAGATTGGCCATATAAAAAAATGAAGCAGAGTAAGGTCTTCTTGGTACCACCTACAAATGTTTAATATTACACAAAAGTGCATAATAGACTTTTATGGCTTTAAAAATCCAGCTTCTGAAAGATAATCAGTATTTAATGTATGGATACATTCTCAAAACTTTAGAGTTATCACAGAAATGTGTAACAATATTTTGACATGATGAGACAGAATAATTTTCTTCCATTTTAGTTCCTCTAACATTGCCTAGAGAAGGGGCTTTTAGACAAGCTTTTCTTCTTTGTTTTATGTTTTTCTTTTTTCTTTTTTTTTTTTTTTTTATTGGAGAGGAGGGCCTAACAAAAACACAGTAAGTTTTCAGGAACAGACAACTGTGGTCTAGAAATACTTCAGAGTTTTTGACAACCCAGTGGACACAGGTCCTGGAGGTAGGTACTGTTTATCCCATAAAGCTCAGTTGTTAGTTCATGCCTTTTTCCCCCTTTGTTGTACTTCATGGTGTTTGGTGACCTCTTTTGATGCTTCCTGACCCCTACACAGGCAATACTAGGACATGAATAACGCTTTTCCATGCAATCCCACTGCCAGGATAAAATGTATACTTTCACTGTAGATTTAGTTTCAGCAGTGAACCTTTGGGTTTCAGCTTCAAGATTATCCCAAGCTGGCTGTGCCACAGAGCTAGGCTACCTGTCACAGTACTTTGTAGGATATCTGTTAGTCATTGCCATTTGGCTTGGGATCAGGGACCAGCCGTTGGCCCTCTTCCGTTTAGCAGTACAGACACATACTAGGGCTCTGCACTGCGGCAAGGTAAATCATTCTTCTTGCCCTGTGAATTGTTAGAAGGAACAGGAGAACTAGCCACTTTTGAGTAGTTTAGTCTGCACCCTTGCTGCAACATGCTGAAGTACCAATTTGACAGAGACTGATATTAGGCCTTTGACCTCCACCCAGAAGCCAGTTCTGTAAATACACCACAGAGGTTGCTGCCAAAATTGCCTCTTTCCAGAAGACACACCATGTGAATCACTACACAGTTCAAGTGTCCTTTGCAACTTCTCTCCTTTGACCAACAACTACTATTTCACAATTCTTTTTCATTTTCATGCAAGGAACAGTGCTACCTGCACTGAGGCAGAGTCAAGGTACAATAATTTCATGTTAGTTAACCATGAAAGAGAAGAGGAACTGAAATAATATTGCCTACTTCCTGCTTATTTCATCTTGTGCAGTTCCTCAGGACAGTACAAAAGACCTGCTCATGGGTGGGAGGAGATGAGAAGGTGTGCAGAAGAACAGAAGTCACTCACAAAATCTTGTGAAGTATACAATAAGACAGAAGAGAAAACATCATCTTCATCATTGCATCGTATCACTTGAGGAATGAGAAAGGAAACACCTGTAGTCCTAGGAACTATGAGAAGTCAAATTCTGGCTGCATAAATGCATTAGTGCATTTACAACCTTAAAAACTGCAAGAAGGCTGGTGAATTATTCTCCTGCTCAACTCTTAGGATAACTGATTTCACTGCCTCCTGCCAAACAATTAATTCCATGGCCTACAAGATGTACTGGGTGAGAAGAGTATTCTCCTGACTTTTTTGAGATTCAAGGGGATACAACTGGTCTGGAGGCTGGCTTCATAATATCTGCCATCTAATCCTCTTCTAATGCCACAAGCTTCAGAGATCTTTCTATGATCAAATAAAATCTGTCAGCCATTCAGAAAAATAAATTGAACTTTCATTATGTAAAAAGTACCTCTATGCTCGGCAACAGAAGACAAACCTATATATGAACAACTGAATCTGCTATGCAAAATAAAGAGAAGACTGAAAGACTTACTATGTGTATGAGTAACTTCAAAGAACCTGTTGTCCTCATCACGGACAGATAACTAGGAATTGCTAGTGCCTTGTCAGATGCTCAGGCACACGAATCCTACCCTGTTTCTTAGGGTACTCAGTCAAAACTCCTACAAAATTTTAGAAATAAAATACTCTAAAATCACCTGATGGCATGTCAGAAGGGGTCCTGTAACCTGGAAAGAATCTGAACAGCATGAGGCCAACAGGAAGACTTGTCTTCCTTCCCTGTTTAGTGTATAAATCAAATAAGCTTATTCACAAATAAATATGCCCAGATTGTGTGCTGAGCTAAAAGTCTACTGAAACATAGGTCTCCCATAGTTATTTGATGCCTTAATTGAAATTACTGAGAATTTATACGCTTTTCTGACATGTCAATATAGTCCCACTACACTTCACTAGTAAAGTTTAGGAAGCCAATAGTCCTGGGAACAGTTCAGCTAAGCAAATTCAGAAAATTAAGTCTTACCTCTTTCTTTCCTTTGGGATTTTGTCACAAAACAGAGGAAAAAATTACAGCTTCATGAATATGGGTTAGTAGGTCTGTATTGAATATACGAACTCAGGAAAATGTCAACATATCCATTTCAAATTTGATTGAAATAATTATACCTAGTTCTCAAGGCTAAGTAAGCATATTTATTGCTGAGGCTTTTCCCTCTTGTTCTTGGGAAAAGGAGAAAGCTGGGCGCAGAATGGAAACTTCATGTTATCCTTAATTACAGAGAGGTTAATACTGTTGCTTACTCACTGTTATAGACAAGTTATCTAAGTAATTCAACATGCATGCCTGCAAGGTAGTCTCTGAAAGAGACAAATGACAATGATGTGTATATGGGAAGTGATGGACACCATACTATTCTCTTCAGCGCACAATTATCTTTTAATTTCTAACAAAGACTCATTTTCTTCAGCCAAATACTGTCAGCAACCAATCAGCTGCTATCTATGCAGTAGCATGCAAGCACAACATAATATAATTACACTAGGTCTGGGATAGAATCGGAACAACCACCTATTATTTTCAATAGGAAGTTTACTTCCAGGAATCCAGCTTTTCTTCCCCCAAAAGATATCTCCTAACAGTTTCATTCACACTTCCTGCTAGCTTATAAGATTTTTCTAAATTCTTTCTTCTATTGCAAAACTCAGACCAATCAATAACAACACTCACAGTGTAAAACATGGTGTTATTAGTTTTGAGGTTCCACCTCAAAATATCTCCTAATCAGCAGATAAATGTGTTTCAGGTAATTCTGGTAACAATGGTAGCTTTCTTTCTCGGGCAATTGGTTATTAATCCATGCATTTGCAAGTAATGGTATTCTTGAATGTATGTGCTCAAATACTATATGGTAAGATGGATTACAGTATTTAAACATGCAATAAACAAGAACACGAGAGCAGATGCATCCTAAGAAATTTTGCTTTGATTTATAAAACAAAACCCAAAAAGTTCCTTTCTGCAGGAACAGTTTGTCCCCCTCAAAGTCGTGCTTTCATTCACTGGCTCTTACATATGCATTAGTAGCAAAGAGCTACACACTTACACCACTATCTTGAGCACTTGAGGTTGCAGTTAGGACTTAAAACAGTCAGATTTCCACCTGCAACTCAACCAAGGTATAAAAATATAAATTTCAAGCATACTAGCAAAACAAAGAACACATGTGAAAGTACGGTCCATTTTCCACCAGGGGGAAAAACGTGTTTAAAAAGGAAAAACAGCAGAGGAGAAAAAAAGCTCTTTGAAAGTGATAAGTACTCTGCAGCACTGAGACTGTGCATCTCTGACACTTTTTGTTGTACTTACCTAATATCTGTGCATGTTATACATGTGATATAGCGACTGTTTGCTGTAACGAGGTTCAAAGCCACAGATGTTTCACTGTCAGCGGTTGGGTGTGCTCCACATTTAAAGTAAAACTCCTGAAATTGAAGGAGAGATAAAGAGAAGATTACATACCTGCCGCTCATGTCCTCCCTTTATCTTAGGCTTACTGACATTTGAGACAACAGACAAATCACCACTGCCAACAGAAAAGGAGGATGGTCATTAGGAAAGGTTTACAAGGAATCCCTTGCAGTCTAGGCGTGTATTTTGTTCAGTGACTTCCCTAGAGAAGAAGATACCTACTTGTGTACTAATTTGATATCAGTGTGATACATTCTGTGGTCTTCTGGATTTATAGAAAAAAAAAATTACTTAATCTAAGGCAGAATAATAAGCACTGTCACTATGCATTAATATTTCCACATACTTTTTTGTTACAGATGTTACCATTTTCTGAACTCTAAAACCCAGTATTTTAGCTCCAAATTGGGAAAGTCTGGCCTTGTTTTTGTGATTTTGGAAATCTATACTATACAATTTCACCATCATATTAAAGAGAAGATCTAGCTCTCTTAGGATACATATTACACTTGCAATTATATATTATATTGTGTTTGAATTAAGTTGCTTTAGTCCATACCGCTCTATAAAGCCTCTTATACAGCTTTCATTAGCATAATACTTTTTATGCCACTGTGTGCTTTCTTCTTTTTCCCATTGCAGCCCAGGGAAAGCCATACTAATCATGCTGTGCTTTGATAAGTTTTCATTATAGGAGATTGTTTTAAATGTCCAAATCACTCTATGCATATGTAAATAAAAGCAGTCTGAAGACATGTGCTTTGCAATAGGAGCCACAGATGACAGTTTGCGATTTCTTCATTCCCATGAGACCTTTTCTCCAACGTCAAACTATGGAAATTTGTAATGAAAACATTAAGACTGGTATAAATGAAGTGTGAATTGGAAGGTAAGAGTGTAAAAGCATCAGAAGAAATGACGAGAAGGTGGCATAAAAGAATGACAGGTGTTGATGGCATATAAAGATGGGATATTAAGATCACGGGTGACTCTCAAGACACGCAGACCGGGCAAAAAAAATCCTAACCACCCCCCCCACAATCCCCTCCCCCAAAAACGGGTGCAGAGGGGAGTAAACTGCAAGTAAACTGCAGCTAGAGAAAAAGACACAGAGACAATGAAAAAAATCAGCAACGTTTCCTAATGACTCACAGAGGTGGGATCAGGATGAAGGAAAAAAAAAAAAAAGTACAGTCACTGTCAACTTTTAGGGTGCAAAAGTCACATCCAAAACCCAGCAGTAAGAACAACCCAAAAGCTGTGAAAAAGACTTGCCAGTCAGCGTTTCCTATTGTCACCCCAAGTTCCCAGCTAGACACATATTTTAGTGCTTGTTAACATATGAATACAAGAGAATGAATGTGGCTGAATGAAATGAGTTTTGTTTAATACAAAATGACCTTCCCCCTTTACAGCCTTGCACTGAGATTTACTACAATACTGTACTAAAATCAGTCCATAAAAAGCCCTTACTGTCTCACTGCCTTGAGCCTTTCAGAAGGGAACTCTTCACCTGTGAAACAGCTGTCAATTACTGTGCTTTCTCAGTGGTGACCATTTCGATATATTGCATATTTCTACATGAGACAAATACAGTACCATGCAGTAATACTTCCGAGGTGGAATCTGGTGACTAGGATATGAGAATCAATCTGCCTCTCAGCTTAGTCAATCCTGCTTCTCAGAGAAGCACCGATACATGCAATAGATTCAACACAAATGAAATATTCCAACTCAAGTTAAGGACTCATTGTCAGAAACATGTGTTAGTAGCAGTTTATTGAGAGAACTAAGGGCTAAGAGGATATTTTAAAGGCAAGCCTAATTTTATAATGAAGCAATTACTCATAGAACTTTTGAAGTAGTCACCTATACATATTTACATAGAGCTAACTTTTTAAAATAACTAAATCATCCTTCTGTCTTGTTCCATAACATCAGGAAGTAAAGAAGCAAGAAAATATGCTTAAAGTCATCCTTAGACAATACTTTTTTTTTTCTTTTGTTCAAGACCCAGTTACACACATAGCTTTAAATATCAGCTCAGCTTTATACATTTCAGCAGTCGAGAATGAGTCAATGGAACTACACGTTCATCGGAGTACATGAAAACCTTACACAATCTGTAACTTTAATTTATTTTCGACCTTTAAAAGTGTTTAAAAATATCTTTGTATTATTTGCTAATGAGTATTGGGCTTGGGTTTTCTTTGCCCTTTAATTTGATTTTACTTTTGTTTGAATTACATGGTAAGAAGGGTTTATTTCAATGCAGGACAAGTCTTGAAAATATCTCCTTGCTTCAGTACATCTTCTGCACAGAACTAAGAGAATATTGACAACTCACTATTCCAGAACAGATAAACTGTGGCCCAGGAAACGTATAAAAGAAAAACAATTTTTGATAAAATTACTTTCCCACTATAATATAACTTTCTTTGGGTCACAAGCAAAAGGAAAAAGAGTAGTAAAGGAAGTAAGCCCTAAAACACTCTAAATAGCTTTAGACTTTTTTTTTTTCCCTAAAGAGCGTCTGTTTGATGATTCTAGTTGCTTTTGACAATACCTCACAATGGTTATAAGTTTCTAATTGTGAAAGCTGCTTGATGAAAATGGAAGGGAAATAAAGCGATAAAGTTCTTATTTCATACTCTAAGATGTATGGAAGATTGCCTACAAGTCAGGGGAGGGGAAAGAGAAAGAAAATTAAAAAAAAAAGTTGAGTCTTGTGCTACATTCCCAAAATACTTTCTCTGTAACATTAGGAAAATTACTTCTCTATACTTCTGTTTATCAGCCCAAAAACTGCTTTAAGAAAATTCCCCACTAATTACATTTACAATGAGCTTTGCTGTTGCTGAATGGAGAACTTTATGGAATGTGAAAATACAATTTGAAATAACAAAAGAAAATATTACTACTCTCAAAAATTCTTCAGTGAAAGACTCCCTGCTTGAATAAACTACAATTAAAGAAATAGCAAATCTTAATATTAAATGCAAACAGAACAGAGAGATCATTAAAATTATAGAAGAAAAATCCCTCAAGATTATACGTCAAGTATTTGTTCAGGAGAAATCAAGATTAAAGAATAAAAGTCATTTATAACTAATGTGTTGAGACAGCAGTACAGTAAAACCAACCCAAATGTCCACCGTTGCAAAAACAAGAGAGGTATCAATCCACACAATGCACAGTTCTACAAAATCAACACAGCAGTCTACTTCTGTAGGTCTAAGACATTAGTGCTGTGATGGGAGTTCAGAAATATGGGGAGACATTGGAATGTGAAAAACGCGGTATGCCAAGTGGCTAACAGTTCTGGCACAGAGTGGACTGCATTTCCACATTTCAATTTATTTATTTTTTTAATCATAGCAATACACATTCCAGTTGTTTGAAGGCTTTTAAAAGTCATGAATTTAATTAGGTTACCAGTTGCAAATAAAAATTTACCTGGCCTGGTTTCAAACATTGCATTTACATACATTTACAAGGTTATGTTTTAGACACAACTTAACTTAAACTTCAGTTTCGCTAAGGATGTCTTTGCTGATGATGGTACATTTTCCCAGTAAGGTCCCTTCTGCTGCTTGCTGGTTCTGAACAGCTCCCAGGGGCCAGTTCTCTACTGGGTTTGGAATGGGCTAGTAGAAGGAATCTACCAGATTTCCCAGAGACTGAGCGTACTTCTTGTGATACAAGTACAACCCTTTGATGGCAGGGCATATATGTACGAAGTTATGAAGATAACTCATCAGCACAAGTTGTTTCTCAACTGATTCCAGCAATGAAATTACTGAGAGTAAAATAAAAGTGGGAAGAGTTTAGCCACTTCTCACTCTCCAGCCTTGCATGTCATCAGGCATGTAAATATAGCTATTCTTTTATTTAGTCTTTCACCCAGTGTATGATAGCCTAAGGAGACAAATTTGCTGGATTATTTAATCTAAATCATTTTATGTTCCAAGGTTAGTCTCCAAACAAGCATAGAGACCTTAGAGCCAGCCAATTTAGCACTAACCCTCTAACTCTGCAAGACTGTCACGCTCATATGAGCAGTTGTTACTTCTTAACATTAACATCAAAAAGTGTCTCTCAACTCATGTTATGCTATATGAGACAATACATTCAGAATTTTAACCTTATAGTAAAAAATCCTTAGAGAATAACATAAAAGGGATGGGCAAAAATTCATGCAGTCTACATCACTCTCTGACAACTTCTAAAATACTTTAAAATAGAAGAAATTACATTATTTCTCTTTTCTGCACCCATGTTCTCACTCGATACGGAAATTTCTGATGAAAGCATTTTTCTTTTTGTAAAGTATTTCTGTTCAGCAATGAGTAAGGAAGTCACGAAATTACTGCAAAAGCCAAGACAAAATTTAGTGCTTTTCTTCAGTCCTGGAAGTGTGTAGTTTTATGGTCACCTTCTACTGCAGAGAATATCTTTACATCATTTTCTTGCCTAAAGGCATAGGTCCCATGAAATTGCAAACATTCTATTTAACACTACAAATGTCTTCCTTTTGGCAGTGTATCTGATAGATTGGTATTCAGAGAAGGGAGCAGGCATTGCTCTTGCATACTCTGTCATATTCTTCACTCCTGTTATCGCTTTTGTGTCACACAACATCATAAAATTGCAAGGGAGAAGAAAAGTTTCAAAGATACATGGTCAGTGTTAGATACTTTTTACAAAACTCAAGAAGAAAATACTCAAATTTATAAAAAAAAATAATCATTTAATATTATAAAAAAAAAAAAAAAGAAAAGCACCTCTCCCTAAATTCCGTCTTTTCAAACAAAGCAGGGGTTTGCATGCTCCTAATGGTAAGCGAACTGTCTTCTAGACAGTCAAGTAACTGATGTATGTATAAAAAATCAAAATCATACACAAACCATCAGTGGGAAGCTTGAAGTCTGAAACAGAACAAGGTGAGACAGGCCCAGAAGAAACTTTACCCTTTTGATACATGTTCCCCAGTCCAGTTTACTGGACCGTCAGA